CCAAAATCAAAACCTTACCCGAAATCTGAAATCTCATTTACAGCTATTCTGGGTACCTAACAAAAAATTGCTAAATATTTTTTAGCCAATTCAATAAAGCTATTGATTTCAGCAATGATCAGTATATATTTTTAAATGCTAAATAATTTTATTATTTAAGATAGATGTGCGACACTGTATACTAAAATCAGGAGCATAAACATCAATATTATAATTATATATGCTAATTCTTACATTATATCATGAAGCTTTTAATTAGCTTTAGCATTACAACCTAATCTTGAAATTTTATTCATAATATAGAAAGTTTCGCATATGATTTCATCAACTGACTTAGTTTGTAAATCGTGTAGAGCAATTTTAAAATTTTACTTTACTACGAAGTTGGCAAATTGAAAAGATTACATCAATAGAAGAATCGATATAATAAGCATCAAACTTCCCCAGCACCAGAAGATATTATAGAATTACCTTTTTCTAGTCATACTGAAACAAGCACTTCTGGCTGAAAAAAGAAAGATATTATTGCTTTCCTTGGCAAGTTAGTTAAAATAGTCAGGCAGGCAGAAATAGTAGTATTTTTAAACCAATTGAAAAATTTAGGTTTTGCTGCCGCTACTCAATCTGAAATCAGTATCTCGCTCCTTGATTTACTAAAAATTACTGAAAAGGAACAAATGCTTCAACAATGTTTTAAACATATAAGGATTGCTAAATCGATATCTAAATGAAAGGGTTAACCGTATTATAACTAAAAGTTGCATATATCAGTAGTCTGCAATCCTGTCCCAACTACTATAATAATTAAATAAGATTAGTGTAATACTAATTATTGATAATAAAATATTATGATTAAATATAAATGGAAACTTTATAGCTTTTTAATAAAGTAAAAACTCAATACATAAAAATGATTCTATGTTACAAGCACAAAATTTAGAATTTGTTAACACATGCATCGGGTGTATTATAGCTCTGTTTTCGGATAACTCTAAAAAAGATTGTGTGGAATTTTTACGTATAAGATAGACAGAATGGTATTTTGTTTAGGGCAAGTCAATTAACAAGAATGTAGATCATTATATTATAAGAATCAATCGACAAAATGGTATTTTTTTTAGTGCAAGTCAGTTCACAAGAATATAGATCATTATCTCATGAGAATTAATCAAGAAAGTAAATTATTATACTATAAGAGTCAATCAAGTAGATCATTGTCATGAGAATAATTGTCTATAGGTCATTTTCATAAGGTTACTATACTGAATCAAAACCAAGATTTGTGTACGAACACAAAACTCAATACACTCGTTTCAACACATTCAATATTAAATTTTTGTTTGAATACTTACCCACCTGATCTTAAATTTCATATTGAATCTATTATGCCAAAAATAATAACTTAAAAGATTTTCTTGTTTTGACATTCTTCAGCTCCCAAAAAATCATTCGGCAAATTTTTTGTCAGTTCTGTTATGCAACCAAGTTTCAGAATTAAACTTTGGTTTGTAGAACATGGGTAATATGTAGTGTAACTCTATAATAGTTTAAGCGAAGTTTATAGTAAAGAGTATACTTTAATTAAACTTTTATATTGTTAAACTACATACTTGTAAATAGTAAATAGTCAATTTGTAGTTTAATTACTTGTATAAATGTAGACATATAGAATGTTAGTATATAGAGTGAGTTTTTAAAAAGTACTTTGTTTTTAGTAGATTTTTGTCTTTCAGTTTTATTTCTGTTGAGCTCTTAGAAGTTTGCAACTTGTTAAGTAGCTAGAGAAATTAGTGTATTAGTACCATTAGTGTGTCTGAGACACAACATTAGGATATTTGTTTGTGACTCTTTTGGTGCCTTTTATGATAATAAAACACTCTGTTCATTACTTATTAATGCTTACAGTCCTTTGATAAATTGGCATAATTGATACTAAGTCTTTCTCTTGACTATAACAGTACCCAGAACAGCTATAAATGAGATTTCAGATGAGGTTTCAGATTTCAGGTTTCAGGTAAGGCTTCAGGGTTTCAGGTAAGGTTTTGGGCTTTCAGGTAAGGTTTTGGGTTTCAGATAAAGTTTCGGATTTCGGATAAGGTTTCAAGTTTCAGATAAGGTTTCAGAAACTATAATCTAAAACCTGAAACTTTCAGATTTGGCCAAAAAGGTTTCGGTAACCAACACTAGCACAGACAAAATTCTTAAAATTCAATAAGGTTAGGGTTAGGGTCAGGGTTAAGAGCTTGAAGAGAGTAATTTTAATAGTAAAATTGTTCAATAAAACTTTTTGTTAGAGTACAAAGGATGGTTTCTTATACTGATTTTTGAGTTATAAACAATTTTGAATCTTCTTGATTGTATTACATTACATCTAATATTGAAAACTAATTCGTAGATCAAAAGAACTATGTCACCAACCTGGTATACATTTTCTGATTGCGTTTTAATTTTTGTATTATGTCAGATTTTACGGATAAAAATGTTATCAGTTAAGTTGATAGGGATGTCATTAAGTTTCACTTGAGCCACAGTTTGAAGCCAAGCTGAAGTTAAGCCAAGCTAATAGTTTAAGTTATAGTTTAAGCTATAGTTCAAAATTTTACTTACAGTTATAAAAGAATAACTATTGATCTTAATTGTAGCTAATAGCTTAAACCATAACTTAGTTATAGCTTGGCTATGGCTTTTTTGAGCTAAGCTAAGCTATCTAAGCCAACAACATCCCTATTTGTAGAGAACAATATAAACTACGTAGCTAAGCCACATGATTTATATAGTAACCTAATGATAAATTAGTTATCATTCACAAACCTACCAATAACAAGTACAAACTCATTTTCACATCATATAACATTCATATCATATAGCGTATTATAATACAACAAAATCACATGAAAATGCTATCCAATCAATTTACTTATTCAGATACCTTTTACTTGCTACTTAAACATGCACTTTGTTGCACTCCATTCATGATATAATGGACAAATACACTAATAGTCTCACAAGAATTAAATCTCATAAATATCTGACTGTTTATTTAAATTTTGTATTTCTTTTATACAAGCAATTTGATGAATTCAGACTAATTTAAATTTGACGATTATTGATTTGTAAGTGCATTGCTAAGAAAAAAATATCTAAAACTGAAAATCAGATTTTGGGTAATATAAACAAATTTTACTTATAGTTTAGAATAGATAAAGTATAGTCTCCATGAGTCACAAATTTTACTTATAGTTAAAAATGGATAAATTGTTTACAAAGAATTTATATAGTCAGTGAAATGTTTTTCAAAGATATCTCAGCAACCACTAGGCCAATTTTGATGATTTAACCACTATTATCATCTTAATGAGTTCTACAACTTTATTTAAAGATTCAAAGGTGGTTAACTTAGTACAAAAAAACTTTTAGATGTTGGACAATCATGACTAATGAATTATCAATTAATCATTAATTAGCTGAAGATCATATGATAATAATCTGATATTTGATTATAGTCACACCTAGAGATTTTACCCAGGTCAGAAAATACTGATCCGAACAGGTCAAGTGTCAACCCGGGTTATAACCCGGTCAACAGGTCATATAAAAAATCCTGTGATATGTGTCTGTTATAAAAGTTAGTACAACATTGTTGTTGGCATAACAATATTTATTCTTTAAAAATTGGTAAGTATGTACGTACTTAGTATGAAGAAATCAATCTAGTACTCTTAAAGTTTTATTATTCGTACATATGTATGTAGTAAAATATTTGAGAAAGTTTAAACTTACACTGTAAAGTATTCAATTATAAACTCAATGCTAAACAGTAACAATCAATTTTTTTTAAAACATTTCGTATTAAGCTTTTTTAATTATCTTTTAAATTAGTGCAATAAATGAATCCTAAGAATTCTACAATGCTATTGTGAAAACAAAGTAATATTAGGTTCATAGAATTCTCAGGATTCAATTTCACACTAATTTGAAAACAATGATAAAAATTTGAGGGCATTATTATCATAATATTGTTAGAATTTTTCTTGAAATTTTCGTGCAGTATCTATATACTTACAAAAATAGTTAAAGTCACTTTGTTACTTATGAATTAGGATTGAATGATAAAGCAAAAGCATATATACATTATCTAAATCAGCTAAGGCTGACAATTGCATAAAAATTCTTTGAAACTAGAGTTATTATTTTACTGAATTGGCTAGAGTGTTTAGACTTATGCGTTTCAGAGATTTTTTATTGTTAAACAATGAAAAATCCTTGCAATTACATAAGTTTAGACACTCTAGCAGAAAAAAATAATGACAAAGACAAATACTTCATACTTGAGCTGAGGTTTTTAGCTGCATATATATATATAGAAATTGAATCAGTAAACTTTTGTTATTTCTAATATCCAAATTTTGCTATCAAATATTTATAGTTTGTAGTGTCTTGGTACCCATAAGATTATAAAAAGCCAAAGTATACATGTTGAAGATTGCAAGTTGAACAGTATAAACTTATTAAAAAAAAATTTGATCCTACAAACCTACTTTCAACTCAAAGCAAATGAAATTTTATATTAGTAAGCATTATATGAAAATTGTTTTCATTCTTTAATTTCTTTAGTTTATAATTTAATCCTTAAGAAAAAGTAATTAACATCATTACATTATCTTATAATTAGAATAAAAAAGAAAAAGAAAAAAAAATATATAATTTTCTGAAATCTTGTAAGTATAATGATGTATACATATATTTATATAAAATCTGGCTAAATCATATTAAACTGTTGTAGCATCCAATGAATTTTTATTAAAAATAACAAAGGTTAAGATTTTGAATTACAAAGCAGACAATAATGAGTGATAAAGACTTAGATAATATAGTTTTAGAGTATGATGATGTTTGATTTGGATAGGACACATTATCACAAACAGGCAATTAACCTTTAGTCAAAAAAAAAAAAAAGAAAGGTCAGGAGGTAGTCCTGTTAAAGTGTTTTATGAAACTAGATTAGTTGATAATTCAGAATTTTGGGTTTGTTATCATAAAACTTGTATACCTCAAATAAAATAAATAAAAGATGGGTCTACTTCTAATTTATGGTGATACTTGAGAAATAAATACTATATCTTACGAGCGATAGTGGAAGATGGTTAAGCAAAAGTTGTAGTAAAGGATAATAATAGTTGCAAATTTTGTATAATTCCAGAATCATCTTAAACAACAATAACGCAAATACTTAACAAAATAAAAAAATATACATTCAATAATTCTAAACAAAAAAACTTGATAATAACATAGCAGCCTTTATTATTGAAGAACTTTTACTATTTTCAATTACTCAATCACAAGCATTTAAAAGAATTATTGAAGGGCTTGATGCCCAGTCTAATGTACTTAGTAATGATCATTTGAAAGAAATTCTTATTAATTCTGAAAATAAGATTTTATAAAACATTTGTACATATGCATTTGATAGTGCTGAAATTAGTTATATTTCGTTTACTACTGATATGTGGTTGTCGGATAATGGTGATCTATATATTGGACTTACTTTTTACTAGATTAACAATAGTTTCCAAGTAAAAGAAATGATTGGTAACATATCGTATCTCCTATATCCTCATACTTCCGAATACTTTTTTAATAAAATTGTTGAAATTTTGGATAATCTTCAACTTAAACACATAATTGTTAGTGGTACAGTCAATAATAGATCTAATATTAAATTGTGTTTAGAAAAGTTAAGACGAAGATATAATATTTTTAAAATTTTTTGTTTTGGGCATACTCTACAACTCGCAATTAATGATGCATTGAAAAAATGTTTTGAAATTACAAATCTAATAAAAAAATGCAAAGATCTAGTATTGCATTTTAGTTGAAGTCCAAAACAAAAACAATTTTTTTTAGAAGCTCAAATAGATATGGAAGATTGGGATAATTTGCTTTTTGTAGTTCGTGATGTTTTAACAAGATGGAATTCGATGTTTTATCTTTTAAAATGACAACAATTTTTAAACCTGTAATATATAATTATAAATCGTTTTTAGTTAAAAGTAATAATAATAGTACACTGCAAAGTTATATAGAAAAAGAGCTGTCATCCAATGAATGGGAACAAGTAGCCAAATTAGTTAAATTATTGTATCCTTATAAGGTAGTTTCAAAAAAACTATCAGTTTTACAGTATTCAACACTTTCTCAAGCATAGTTTGTGATTAATTTTATTAAAGCAAAACTTGGTTGTACCATAATAAATAATGTTAATGTTTAAAAATTTAGGACTCTTCTTTGTAAATCAATTCAGAATCAATTTTTAGAACCATCAAAACAATTTGACTTGCTGCTTTTCTTGATCCACAAACCAAAGATATGCAAATCTTTACAAAAAAAGCCAAGAATTATATGATTTTATAAGCACGTATAGAATACCTTGAACTAGCTGCCAACTATTATGAAATAAATAATGCGTCAGATATATTAACCAATGATATAATAAATGCTGATAATGACATTTTCTCTATTTCTTCAGCCACTTATTTACAAGAATATTCAAGTGAACAAAATGATGACAATGATATTACTAACTGTGAGTTTAATTCATACTTACTATTACCAAGAGTTTCGAGTGAAACAGATATACTTCAATGGTGGGCCTCAAGAAAAGTTGATTATCCTATACTTGCAAAACTTGCTTGCAAGTATTTATTCATTCCAGCTACGTTGGTACTATCTAAATGCCTTTTTTTATCTGCGGGTCTTTCAATTACTAAAAAACGAACAAGACTTAATTCTTAATTTGTTGAGTCAATTTTGGTGCTTAAGGCAGCCCTGAAACTTTAGCCCGTTTCATATGTTTTTGACTATTACTTATAAAAATTCTGTATCACAATTATTAAATCATTAAGAAGCTTTTCAATTTATCAATTGTATAATAATAATGCTATATTAAGACAAATTTATTCAGCTATATGACAATGTGCCTTCAAGTATATTCAATGTTTCTAATGCCTCTTTTATTTTAATTTTAAAATTATAAAGAATCAAAATAAAAAATTATTAAGTTTCATCAAAAAATAAATATAGTGACAGATCAGTATTAGATATTCATAAGACAGTATAATAATTTTTGTAAATATATCTTATTTTTTATCATATTCACATTAAAAAAAAATAATTATAAACAAAATTTTATTAATTAAATAAAAATTATTTATTTTATTTTATTTTTTTTTGATATTAAGGTACTTCTTGGTTGCTTTCCTTTTATTTGATTATTGTTAACTTTTACTATACACTATATCATATATATATTAAGAGAGTACAACTAGCACACATACAACTTTTGGTTGCCTATTTAAGTTTTTCACATTAGTGCTCCTACAAATCAAACTTGAACCAAACTTTAGTCAAGTCTGAGTTTGGTCTGATTTTCAGACTAGACTCAGACTTTTATATTCAGAATTTTTAGTCAAGTCTGATTCTGGTCTGAGTCTGGTCTGAAGTTTGCAGACTGGTCTGAGTCTGAATATATTTATATGTATTTTTTGAAACTCTGAACTATGACAAAATTCTGAAACTTGAGAAAATTGAAAATTTAATAGTTTGATATCATTCATTCTCAACAATCATTCTTCTAATCAATCCCTCACCAACTTTTTGAAAACCTCTTCGTCAACACAATCACCTATCTGACAACTATTTACTTGACAAACATTTCTCTAACAACTATTCTATTTTTTATACTACTACTTATCTGATAACAATCTCTTCCCTAATGGCAATTCTTTCTTGACACTACCCTTCCTCCGATACTACTTTTTTCAAATACCATTCTTCCTGATACCACCTTCACTGATACTCTCTTTCTAAATACCACTCTTTCATGGCCTTACCCTTCTCAACACCACCTTTCCATTTCCTGACTCCACTTATTTCAAATACCATTTTTTTTGAACATTCTTTCTGACACCTCTTTTTTAATATAACCTTTCCCAATACCACCCTTTCTAATATTATCACTCCTCCGGCAACAATTTTTCTACAACTATTTCAATGCACTACTACTTTTCCTGATATATTTAAAAATAATTATAAAATAAATAAATTATTAAACAAAAAAAAATTAAAAAAATTACTATTTAAGTAAAAAAAAAAACATAATTTAAATTAAAAAAATAATTTAAATTATTGCAGTTTGTATAATTTTGTGATCTACATGATTAATTTTTTTTATAATTAAATGATTGTGATTGCGATTTACAATTGCTAAAGCAAGTCAATTTATAAACACAAACTCAGATTGGATAGCTTTAGCAATCATGGTCGCAATTACAATCATTTAATCAACCCTGTAGTTACAAAATTATGCAAACTGCAATAAATCAAAAAAAATAATAACCAAAAAAATTAAAAATAAGAAAACAAAAACAAAAAAAAAATATTGTACAAAAATTTGCCAGCCAACGAAGTTTTTAAGATCACATAATATAAGTTTGTAAATTTGAGTTACAAACTTTACATATAATTTTAAAATTTGATTGGTTAGCAAAATCTTTGATTTTTTATAATCTTAATTTAAACTTTTATTTTTTATTTAACTATTTTTTTTTTAAAATTAATCTTTATATAAATTTTTATTTATATATTTTATTAAGTGATTTATTTTTTAATAACTTATTTTATTATTAATACATTTAACTGCGGCAAAATAATTAGTATAATAAGAATAGTGAAAAGTGATTGCAAGGACATGTTTGTGGTGAGAAGTATTGCAGAAATAGTGATGTCAGAGAAGGAGTAAGTTTAAGGAAGGAGAGGTTGTTAGAAGAGAAGTTGTTAGAAAAAGGAAAGGTTATTAGAAGAAGAGAAGATTGTCAGAAAAGATAGTTGTAATTGTTAGAAAGGATGGTTATTAGAGTGATTGAATTGTTAGAAAAGTAATTTTCAATTAAATAATTGTGAGCTAAGTAGTTGTGTCGAAGATAAAAGAGTGATTGTTAGATAAATAGCCATCATGCAGGTTGTTGTATTGGAAAGAGTTTGTTAGAGAAACAGTTATTAGAAAAGAGATTGTTAGTGAAAGATTTTGACACAGTAATGAAGTTAGTTTTGGTTAATTAAAACTAATTTTGGTTTTGGTTATTGACTCTATATAGTTTTGGGCAGCTTTATTATTATCAGATAAGTAGTTTGTCAGTGAGTCAGTATAATTTTGGAATTTCAGCATAGTTTCAGAATTTCATTATTAGTTTTGAATTAGTTTCGAGGAGCTTTAGTTTTAGTTATTAGCTTTACTAAACAAGTTTACTTAGTGCATTTTGTTTATGATTCATAAAATTTTATTAATTAATTCTAACAAAATTCACTAAGTAAACTTGTTTAACATCAAAAAATACATATAATTATATTTAGACTCAAACCAGTCTGCATAATCTGAAGTCTGAAATTAGTAAAATTTGAAGTCTGAGTCTGGTCTGAAGCCTGAAATTAGTAAAATTTAAAGTTTGAGTCTGGTCTGATCTGGACTGAACCCAGACCAGACTAGACCCAGACCAGACCTCAAAGCACTAGTTCACATATTGGTATTATATTATAAAAACTATACTAGATACTATATCTATAACCTGACTAGAAGATTATCTATTTAAACCCTCTGCATATATGTATATTAATCTTCTAACTGAGCAAGAATACTTAGTATTTCTTATTTTCAAATACTCAACTTAGAATTTTAAAATAGTCTTATATTTTATAGAGAGCCTTTGTTCTTAAGATAAATCTGCTAGAGCTTTTTGTACTTATAATATGGCTAATCTAGATTTTAATAACTTATGCTAAGTCTGAAAACAAGTACTTGTGAGCTAAAGCCATTACTGTTATCTATTTCCGTACTTGTAGAGTTACCAAAACTTCAATATCTACTTTACAAATTATTACTAGTATCTAAGTTTTGTTAGTGCCTTAAATTTTTAATTTAGATAATTTGGAAGAGCTGTAATCTGTTTTTAGTCTTTACAGTTGAGTCTTTTTCTTCTAGTCACTTTTTTAGCAGCCTGGTTGGTGTATTGTTTTGCCAAACATCAAGTCTTCATTCAGTTTATTAAATTGGTATCCAGATCCTTTAGATAATCCTTTACATAGTATCATCAAAAATCTGTACTATTTTTCTACTTAGAACTTGCCAAGTATGCTTCTATATACTCAAGCCCTTGAATTTATATAGCTGTTTTATTTAGATTTTGTATAACTTTGCATTATACTATTGTTTTACAGCCTTCTAGTACAAGATGATATAACCAAAGCTACAGATGCTGACCTATCAGATTATATATAGTCTGTTATAATACATTTTGAATTTTGTTGCCAGTGAGATTCAAACTCTTGTCTTGCTACTTGGTAATATAACAACTTACTAACTTCACTAAATCATAATACTCTTAATAAAAAT